GCTCTGTTGGCAGAGAACAGCAATTACAATGTTTCTTTCCAGCGGACTCAAACTACAAAAGAAAAATTTTAAAATAGAAAAGGAAGGAAACATACTGGTGACCAGGGGCCTTTTGAATCCACAGAGGATATTGCAGTTTTTATTCAGATTGTGAGCGGTCCCTGTTAAGCTTCATTGGTTGATGGAGGTCTCCTCTCTATCCCCCCATTTAACCACTGCCCCCTTAAGCGTTTTCCATTAGCTTGGAGTAGCTCTGATTCACTCAATCTCCCCTCTCGTCTTTCCCACACACTTTAAGACAGGCTTAAAATCCATTGTACATCCACCTAACTGTCATGCAGATCCTCTTCACCAATTTCCTATTACAAACATTAATGACTGCAAATAAATGCTATTAAAATGGGAGACTAAATCCATTTTCATCTCCTCTTTTTAGTTCTTATCTAGGAAAGTGGTTAGGCAAGCCTTAAGCTGAGGTAGAAAGAGTCAAACACAAGGACCTGTAAGCAAGAGATGTTTTGAATAGGCAGAACTGAAAGGAAAACAATAACCAAAACACAGGCAACCTTCAAATCCACTAAAAATAAACATTCTTAACTTTCCTGGCTGATGCAAAACCTGAAATAATCAAACACTGGAAATGACAAATATTTTGTTACAGTCACCTGCAATAAAAGTAAAGCAAGCAATGCAGAGGTTCAAAATACCCTGGAGAAAGACCTATTGTGGCATGCCCACTGCTCACATCAGTGGTGTCCCCCGGACCACAGCACCACAGGGGCATGGCTCAGCTCTTTTGCTTCACATCAAACAAACCTTTTATTTTCTGACAAAATTATCAGTATTACCATTATTAATTATAAATTATTAAGTCTACTCTTTTTCACCTTTTATGGAAAAGTATGTGGAAATGGACAGTAACAGTTTTTCCCAGGTATTTTGAAATGACCATCACTGTCTGTTCCAGATGTTCCTACTCTGGCACTAATGCCTTCTACCACACTGACAAGGCCTCATGTTTAAGGTCATTTTTAGAGGTAGGCCTCACTTAAAAAAACATGGTGGATATACAGAAACAGTCCTTTTTCCTCTGATTTCATAGTTGTTTCTGGGAAAGGCTAAACGGCGAAAACACTCACTATATTTCTCTCTTTGAGAAGATAGCTGCTTATGGGATGTACACATCTGAAGGGATTTGGGTTTTTTCATCAAGATAAGGAAGACTGAAAACCAGCATGAAATGGGAATGCACAACTTGGGGCATAAACCTCTACAAGCGTGTCTTCGTCTCCCTATTCAGATTGGGATCAAATACATATTTTTTGCTTTGGTGCATTTTAATATTGGGTTTTTTTTTTTAAAAAAAAAGGCATGCCAGATGTACAGGCAACACAGGGGCTGAGGAGGCACCAAGTGCCTGTGGCACCCAACCTGCATGGGTGGAGGCACCCAGTGCTGGGACCTGCCACCGCTGGCAGTGCCCAATACTTTGGGAATGACTCGCCTAGGGAATGTGACTTCTCCAAGTCCTGCTGAGTTAGGAAGGCGTATCAGAACTTTGGATGGGGCCAAAAATGACAAGGACATTGTGGGTCATGGTCAGGCTGACATACTGTGTAAGGACATGGATGCTGAGATGCCAGAGCGGGATTAGGCTGAGCAGCACATGAGTCATGACACAGTGGAAACACAGGCAGGGCTGAAGGTCATTTGGATCTGCATTTGTAACACTGAGTTGTGCAGGCATAAAGAAAGAATATCATAAATCCAAGGAAGATCAGGACCAACCTGTGACACTGCCCACTGCTTTCCAAGCAGCAGCATGCAATCTTTTTTGGAAAGTACTATCAGGACCAAAAAATTTGTTCTTTTCCCTTTAACTATATAACAACAGCAACAAAAACGAACGTGTAGAATAAGCTATTTCTATAAAGAAAGAATAAGGCATTAAATACCTGACATTTCTCTAAATTTATAATCAAAACAAACTTTTAAAGCTTTCCTGTTAATGGAATTAAAATCATCATCACTCTTTCCTTAAGTGTCTGCAGTACATAGTCACAGTCTATTAAGAGAACATGTTAGCATTGTTCATAACAGGATGTAAATGAAATAATCAAGTAATCAGGACTATTTCAACATCAATAAAGGCTCAGAGTGATTATTATGTACAGCTATGACACAATACCATTTTGCATACTTTCCCTGATCAGATTAAAGTGGTGATGAATTCCTCGATGGCTCAAGTGTGCTCCAAGGAAAGCTAGAAGGTTGTACAGTTAACTCCCAGGGTGTAACTCTAAACCATACAACCTACTACCTCAACCCGGATGCACACAGCTTCCAACGGTGACCATAAAATCTTCTTCACTTCTTCAGCCTTTCTTTGAAATGTGACAGTGGCCACAGGCCTATATACTTCCCATAGGGGTACGCTTTCACCTGCAGTTATTCCCCACTTATCAGATGATAAGGCATATTCTTAGGTAGATTTTTCTACTGCAGAAGTAGAAATTCTGTACTATCCTCTTTACATATGTATAAAGATACATATATGTGTGGTTTATGTGTATATATATATACATACATATTTGATAGGAATGATGCAAGTCCAACTACATTTCTGCAAAGAAATGACCATTTGGTCTTATTTTACAATTAGAAATAAGATACAAATCCCTTCTTGTTTTTTTCCTATGTTTTTTGGATGTAATACCATGGAATGGTATATTTAATAAAACCATCCTACTCTCCCTTATTGGATACTCTACAATTCCCTCACATATCTCTGCAAATTTTAATAAGATATTTAGCCAAAGGTGCTTAAAGCAACCAATAAGACAACAAATCACTCAATCAACTTTGAAGATAAGGCAATGGACAAGAGAAGCATTCCAAAACCAATCTATAGTTTTGTACACTCCCTTGGGCTGGTTGTCAAATACCCCTGCAGCGCGAGCTACACAACCTTTTGCCAGATCACCATACTGACACAGACCCATAGAAGCGAGCTTGTGCAGTACGTTTCAACACAAGATCGGATCTACGGGTTTATGCCAATTGGCATCGCGGGTTAGCATTTCCCTTCTAAAGTGAGATGCAGAAGAGTTTAAACAAACAAACATAGGAAGCAATGTAAGAATGAGCACGTAAGAGTAAAAAGATTATCATCGATTGCAAAGAAGGTTACTTCAAACTTAACTGCATAAGTGGTGGATACACCAAACAGGCCAAAGAGTTGTATTAGTTTGGTTTTTGAAAAAGGAAGAAAAGACATTGGTTTTTTTACAGTTTGACAGCAGAAGATTTTTTCATCTTTGGCAGGAATTAATGTCCTTTTGCGCACACTTTGCCTTACCGATGAACTCTCAACACCCAACAACTTGCATGTGACTATAGCATGCACACAGCAGGCAAGACTGGAATCCATAATTGGACGTGACATAGAAGTGAACAATACAGGTTTGTCCTTTGTGTCTGAGCTCATATCATGTATTACAACCCGAAATAAAAACCACTCCACCAACTCAGAAAAGCACTGGAGTGCAGCTCCTGTACAACATTATAAAGACCGCTTAGCTATTTCTTCATATTACAGAGCACCTAAGTACTGCTTGGCAACAACTTATTGATTAAACAACATCTATTAATTAAAGCAAATAAGTTAATTTGTATATTTTATTCACTAATCCTCCCGTCAATGCTGTACCCTAATAGTGAGAATGCAAGTAGAAAGGCAATCTTGCAAAACTTCACTGTGAACTGCTACAACAAATACTTTCTTCTTGTGACCGGCAAGTACCACGACACAAATTATCACGCACTGAATATAAGGTGTCTTACACAACAGACTGAAAACAGGTCCTTTGAGGCAATAATCAGTAATTCAGAAAGGTGAGATATAGATACAGTTGTATAACTTCCATACTCTAAATGAAAGCGATAAATACTGCGTCTTTAAGCATAGCATCTGACACATCAGAATAACTTGTAACAATACAGTCACAAATGCATTGGTAAAATACAGGCACAAGAAGCAGGTATAATTTTAAAATCAGATGCTATAGAAAAGTCTCATCGTTTTAGCGGGCTACTGATATCTGTATCAATAAGATTTAAACACCAGCTTGCCACTAGTTCCCACTGAAGGTCTAATTCTGCCATCATTACTCAGGCAAAATGAGTGTTGCCAATAACAAAGTTTTTGAAGCAGGGGAACGCTTCATTTTCTTGCAGACTGCAATATGTATTTCTAGTTCAGTTATGACAGCTAAGCATTAGTAAATGACCTTTTTTTTTTTTCTTTTCTTTTTTTTTAATTTAGTGGATTAAATCTTGCATGTCCAAGCATACACTTTTGCACTTTAAAATGATGTTAATTTATTTTCTAGAACAGTCTGCTTTAAACCTGCTTTCACTTTATATACAACACTTCAGCATTCATAATTTTATTATTGTTTTCTGCTGACACCGAGGAGATAGAATGTAAAACAAGCACTCAAACTAGAATAGTTATCCTAGTATCAGAAATAAGTATGCAGACTGCATACATAATTTACTGAATGATTGTAATAAACTCTATAAAACCGCTTTTCCAATTTTCTTTCCCTTTTTTTTTTGTCAATAGAAGAGGTATTCCATATTTCAAAAACAATTGGTCATTGCATTATAGTTATATACTAGCAAATAGATATGTCCAATAAATATACTAGAAATAGAAATATACTAGTAAATATATATGTGTTATATATTTACTAGGCATAGCAAAAGAACAAATTATGTAGTGATTTTTCAATTCATTCTAAAGTTTCATGGAAACATACACAAACTGCATTTTTCCCAACAGAAAGAAATCAGAACAAAAGTTTAATACATATCTGTGAAATTATATTTGTACGCTTTCTCAAGAAAAGAAATTCTTTTAAAGCTAATCTGCTTCATGTTCTTTCCATTAAAACTATTTTTTAACAAAAAAATAATATTTAAGATCACTGTATTACCTTCGCTGAATTCTGGTATAATTAACTTCTTCAGTTTCCTTTTTCATTTTATTTTTTTCTTTTACTAAAATAAAAAGAAGTGAGAGAAGGATTTTGAAATATCTGTTTTATGTAAAGTGTTTCAGAACAACATACACAAAATTAGTAATTATGCTTTTAAGATATAAAACCGACACACTGCTGACGCCCTTCTCAGGGCCATGGGAAGACACGCTGTGAACACGCACACTTTGGCAAAGGGACTATTTAATTTAGTATTTCCTAATCTTTTTTTCACCCCACAAATATTTTATTTTTATTAGGAATTCCAGGAGGAAAGGAGCACAATTAACAAAAATAAACAATTTTTATAAAGTAATGCATACACTAAAGTAATTTGGTACGGAACTTCACAGAAATACTGGGATAAAATAAATGGCTTAAATCAAAAAATGTTTGCAAAACTTTAAGGAATAATAAAACCCAACAAATAAGATACGATAATTATGATCAGATATAGACATTTAAAAAGTTCTTTTAAGCTAATGCAAGCCTTGGTTTCTCAACAGACTTAGGTACTAATGATATACGTAATTATTCTAACAAAACTATTGGGGAGGGCAGTATCACCGTAAATCTAAGAAACACATTCTGGTACAAAATGGATGAATGGAGGTATATGTGTCATATACATAAGGTCTCTATTCAGCAATTTCCCAGAATTCATTGCAGAACAACAAAAATATAAGGTAGCAAAATTAGCATATAATCTTAGAAGTTACTGTCTAATCAGTAACGTATAAAAAGTGAAGCACATTTTAAAACAATTCTATTTTTTAAAGTCATAATATATATGCATAAAGTTTTTTATTAGACAAATACCCAACGTGAACATTTTGAAAAAAAAAATCAGAGTTTCTGATGGAAAAGACACTATAAGTTTCAAATTAATTTCTAGCTAAGGACATCTGTAATTTTAATATAAATTAAAAAGACTAGGAAAATATATTAAAAAAAAAATAAAATCCAAAATTCATAACCCACCAATTTGGCTGAGCTTTTCAAAATCTGTCAGTCAGAATGAATTTTGTTACACACACTTCTAATTGCCTAGTAATATGTTACAACAGACAGACAAACGCTTTAAGAAAAAGGCTCTACTAAAGCATCATATGCTCAAAACTTTAACTCTGCATGCACTTATCACAAACATTCTGAATGGATATCTTAAATACTCTTTTCAGCTATTCCTGGACAAGTGCGTCTTTACCGAACATCTTAAAATAGTCACTGTTACTAGCTGCAAACCAGGCGTACTTCATGAATGTCCCAATAATGTGCCTTTTATTCCGCTGCTTATTACACTGATTTCTTTGTAATGGATTTAGATACAAAATGTAAGAAATTCGTATCGGTATTAACTCAATAATAACTTTAATATACTGGCTATGAGAGCGATCGTTTCCTACAGTTTAACACGGGTTTTTTTTTCCCTTCCCCTCTTTAGAAACTGAAAGCATGAGTCACACTGTAAAAAAAGAATTTACTTTCCTTAGCAACCAGATCTAAATACCCACAACTTTCTTAGAGATAACCAAAGCTTAGACTGAATAAATGTAACATTAAAGTCTTTGCATAACTCCAGTGCTTAGCTAAGACAAAATGTGCCTAATCACTTATTTCTACAGACCCTCGATTTTTTGTTTACTTTCTATTTTTAGCAGTATTAGATCAAACACACCCCCAAAAAAGTTAGTTTTAAAAAGTGTGAACAGCTGACTACGTTAAAATTAATACACAAGGACTCAGTTTCTAAACAGCATGTCTAAAATGACTTAAAAAAAGAAAAGGAGGAAAAAAAGAAAAAGAAGCTATACCTGATATGAAAGGTACGTTTTCACCCAGTGCCAAATACTGCTATATGAGCAATAGTGGAAAAAACAAACAAATAAACAAAAAATTCGTTCCTTCTTGCTTTTTTTTGGTTGTTGTTGGTTTTTTTTTTTTACTAAAAGAATCAATCTCCTAGGCTCATTTTGTTACACTGTTTTAAGAAGCTCTAACACATCCTGATGTCTCTGTAGTGAAACATGCCAGATTTTTTTTTTTTTTTGGAAGCAGGAGAGTCACTTTTTTTTTTTTTTTTTTTCTGCACTCTTGTATGTAGGACAAACTCAGATTTGTTTCTTCTTCTTAGGGCTCCTGTTCTTTCTCGGAAGAAGACCAGGATGCCTGTCTTCTCTCTCTCTCTCTTGCTCTTCTCGGAATTCCAGGCACAAAGCACTGCGCAAAAGCTGCACCAATCCTTGCCGCAACTGCCTGCCCAGGACTAGAGGTGGGGAGAGACCAGGAAAATTCACCTCGCCCCTGCGCCGGGTTTTATAAATGGGGATTGCACAAATCTGCCGGAGCAAAGGGGTGAAAAGGCAGGGTGCCAGTTTGCTACACTGTGCTGCAATGATCTCATGTTCAATGCTGTCGCCCCGTTTGCCCAGTTCAAACGCCTGTTCATTAAACGGGAGGAAGGAAAAAAAAAACAAAACAAAAAAACCAACAACAAAAAAACCCCCACGCCAGAAAAATAAAAAAACAACTTTTATCCTTCAGACACTCAGGAGGGCTGTTCTAAACTACAAAAAAATAAAACACGTAGTTTTAAAATGCAGTTATGAAGTATAAATATTCTGCTTATATTTTCTTTCTTTCTTTTTTCTATTTGGAGATAAGAAGCAGAATTTATCAGGCGTGAAAGGGACAGCCTCCTGGTGGTGTGCCAAAAAAGCCAGAATAAAGGCAAAGTTGTGCTTCAAAGCTCAATCGCTTGCTGAGTCTGGCTAAAGTCAAGTATTAAGATCCACCATTTTCTGAGCCATGTAAGAAAAGAGGAAAAAAGTCAGAACGGGCGCTGCTTTCCAAGTCTCCGTTGGCACCATCACAAAATCTCAGCCGTAAGGTCACATGATGCTCTGCCAAATGTGGAGTGCATTCCCATAAACCATTCTGCTGATACTGCGAAGGCAGCTATTGTCTAGTTTATACCCAAAGTTCAGCCCACTCTTCATTGAATTAGCTGAAAAACGCATCACCTTTGGGGGTTGGGAGCCATGGAAACGTCTACCTGGCAGGCTGCCCACTTTTTCTGCCCATCAACCAGAGATGGAATTGTGCTGCCTAATGTAATGATGACTAGGAATGTGAAGAATCGTCCAAAGTGAATCTGATTCTTGCAAAGCCTGCTTCATTTGCACAGCAAACTCTGGCTTCTTGTCGTTAAAAAGGGGTGGGGGGGGAAGGAAAAAAAAAAAAAAAAGCAAAAAAAAAGCGCCTTTCTCCTAAATGTAGCAATTAAAGGTCTAGTAAACATGCCTTGTCTGCAACTTTCCTTCATAACACACTGAAATGGTTCCCAAAATAAAGCACTTGGTATAACACAAGTTTTCTGATTTAAAGCAGCACTCTCTTCTCCCTTAGTTAATGTGGCATCCCCTGAATGTTTTTGCTCCCTAAGGAAAAAAAAAAAAAAAGGAAAAAAAAAAAAAACAAAAAGAAAAAACAAAAAGAAAAAACCAGTGTACACAGCAAATCTCTCATCTCGTCTCTTTACCTGTCTTTATTACCTCCTGACTTTATCTAGCACAAATTATACACGTGTGTGGCAATACCCACTAGCAACAGTGGGGATGCAATATTGCTGCAATCTCCCTCCAAGCAGTCTCCTGAGAAAGCTGGTTGTGTTCCCAGCAGCACAAACCCCTTCAGCTGAGCCCTCTTATCTTCACTGGTGAGCAGGACAGCTGGGCTGCAAGTTTGCAAACCAGCACATTTGAGACCAGGCAGCAGCCTCCCTTCTTCAAAACGCATTTAATCTGGCTTTTGTGAGAAGAGATGCAATCAGGTTGAATTTATAAAAGATGAAAGTTACTAGATAGACTAAGTAATAGACACAACTCTTCTGCTACAGACCTGAAATTTCGATTTTGCCCATCTATTGTTCTAAAGTAAAATGTCACGTAAAATGTCACTTCCAAATGAAAACACCACCTAACCTACTCAGCAACAAACACATGCTTTCCCAGCATCTAAAACCCTTGTACAGAAGAATTTGTCTCAGAGCTCAGCGTTGTGAACAAATAAATGAACAAAAATCCACTCGCTGTTTCGACACCATGAAGCTTAATAGCTACTGCAAAAGAGATGTTAAAAATGTGGCAATTTCTCTGATCCTCCCATTAATAAAAATGGAGCCATGGGAGGAGCCTCTCTACCTATTAGCATCTGTACAAACGCTCCCGCAAAGAGGAGGTTGCCTGCTAAAGAGCTTACAGCTAAAAACTGGTAAGGAAGGGCAAACAACGTGGGAGACGACAGGCTAGAAACCGCAGCGGGAGGACAGGAAAACCCATTCCCAGGGACACTGCGGGCAGTAACTCTCCAGCTCGGCTACTTTTATGTTTTGTTTTACAGTTCTTTCCAGTTTCACTTTATTTACCTGGAGGAAATTGAAGGTTCATTACCGAAGGAAGGAAGTGTGAGAACGGGGGCTTTGAAGTGGAGGAAGATGGTTACGAGGGCAGCGCAGCCCTCGGAGGGAGGTCCTGGGGCTGTCCACCAGCCCAAGGGCTGCGGGGGCTGGCTGCACCCCTGGCTGGGACTGGGGCAGCAGAGGCGGCTGGCTGGTGGTGTGGGACAGCCCCCACCTTCTCCTGGCACACTCCAGAGACCTGCACCCAGGTTTTGGGGAGAGCAGGAATGGTGAGAGGAGGAGAGGGCTCAGGGCAGCCTCTCCACATGATGAAGGGTGTCGCTGGTGGGGTCTAGAGGACTGGGAGAAGGAGCAGCCACCACAGCCCAGCAGCGGCAAAGGACCGGGAAGAGGTGTTGGGCACAACATCAGAGGACAGGAGCGACCCTGCTCTGCTGCCAAGCCAGCACACCTGGGATCAACCGGTCAACTGGTGGGAGCTGTCTGGCAGAAGAGAAACAGTAAATTGGTCCATGGCTTAGTTCCTCTCTTTTCCAGATTCAGAGCTTTTTAAGGGCCACCAGCCAGAGGAAAGCCCTCCAAAGCAGTGGCATGGTGTAAGC